ACATGAATATTGGACACTTAAAAATCGTTTGCCACTGATTTGCATGCACCTATTTTCTTTCATGTTAGCAAAAACTGCCAATCATAAATAAAAGGACACAAAAAATGCAACAGCCAAGTATTCAGAGTGACCATTTAAGATGTGATTTGTATACAGAGCAAGCCTTTCTGTGCAGTAAACTGGTAGGAATCACTTCTAGTTAAATCATAAATACATATTACAGTGAAACACTGTTGGACAGTGTTCTGTCATCAATCAGTCTGTGGTCTTGAGGACACTATTTTTCAAGATGCCTCCTTTAAGAATAAAGCCCTCTGTTGTAATGAATGTATGCTAACTGATCCCCCAAGCCATTTGTTTGGTTGGTTTTTTTTTGTTGTTGTTGTTTGTTTTGTTTTTTTTTTATTTGTATCAGTGTCAGAGTTGAGCTTCTGTAGGAAATTTTTTGCAGTATTTTATTTGTAGTCCTCAAGTTAAGGACACACTCTTTATGCACCCAGAGTCTGCACTGGCTCGTTTGTATCCTGCATTTTGTTAACATGTTACTGTGATTGCTGATTTTCATGACAATTGTTATTGTACCATCAGTGCTTAATGGCAAGGCATCATTATTCAATGCTGGTCAATCAGGCACTAAGACATGTGCAAGACATCAGGCTGAACCCATATAGATGTCGTGCACTCCCCTGCTAATGAATGCAGTTTCATAAAAAGGTTTAAACACGGTTGGCATCCTTAATGTAAGGTTTGCAAAAGCTTATTTGGGAGCTGCTTTGTGTTTATACGGAGCAGATCTAAACATGGCACAAACAGAGTTATACCCGTTGTGTGTGTGTGTGTGTGTGTGAAGCTACGGACAGGCGCGAATCCTTTGGGGGTTTGAAATGTGGAACGGCAGCACAATTTCTGCCAGGGCAGCAGTGAGGGGAACAGATTTTCCAGGAACATCAGTGTTTGGTAGCGCATGTAGGACCTGTTCTGCAGAGGGGTGGTCGTCCTGTGCAGCAGGGAGGTGATCCTCAAAAGCAGATGGCATCCTGAATTTGGCACTGGCTGGAGGCACCCTCCAGCACAGCAGTGGTTGGAGATTAGGGAGTGTGACCAGAAGCCAGGATAAAGGGTCAGGCATCTGGAAAGGTGGAGCAGAAGGAAACTCGAGAGGAGAGGGATGTGCTTTCTTGCAGTGTTAGTCCAGAGTGCTCTTCCAGTGCGTCAGTTAACATTACCCCTGTGTCTGCTTTAGTTACGGTTTCTGTGTGGTTTTGCACCCAAATATTTCAGGCTGCTGTCCATAATAAACTAGATGGAGCTTGGTTTAAAAGCACAGATTTTTTGTCTCTTCTACCTCAAAGTAGAATGAGCCCTTGTGCTCCTAGAGCCTCGAGTATGAAAGGAACAGTAGACATTGGCTGTTAACGAGCTCCCGCACAGGGCTCCAGCAGAACTTGGTGTGAATTCAGTGCCTAAGCTGCATCAACTAAATGGTTAATTCATCTCATATCAACAGCACTGTGATTCATAATGTAAACTTGAGGAATCCTTGATGTTTCAGTCACACATTCCTCTTAATTTGGCCATGCATTCTTTTAAAGCTACAGTGTGCTAACTTAATAAAATGCAGCATGCAAATGCACAAGTTTTTGCCTTCAGGCATTTTAGCCATGGATGTTTCAATGGGTGTCTTCTTTCAAGTATATATTCTTTCCTAAATTATTTACCCTGTAAACATGCTTTGCATTTTCAAAGAAAAATCTGGGCTTCCTCATTCACCACATTTTGTTGAATTTAAGGTGTAATAGAGATAAAAGATTATCATCTGCTTCTTGTGAGCATGTTAGCCTTTGGGATTTTTTTGTTGCTAGCGTTAGGCCCCATTTTCTTCTCCTTTGGTATTATCACTCCCTCCCCCACTTAAATTCCTTGATGCTTTGCCTAAAGCAATACCCACTGGCAGTGTCTGGCTGTGACAGTACTATAGGCTTCCCTACAGATGGGTCCTGCCAATGCCAACCATTGTTCTACTACTGTGAGCTGGCTTGACTGTCTTGGATCACTCAAAACCCCCTTTCCTCTTCCTTTTTTCTTTACTCGAAAGGGTCGTCCTTGCCTGTTGACTTTGAGATCTGAAATGTGCTGACACCCAGGACTTGTGTTCTCTGTCTTAGCAGCAGCTCCCAGACTCGGATTTCAACAGGCACCACTGAGTCCTCCTTGGGGCTGTCCTGCTGCTGCCAAACAGCTCTGTCATTCTCCTCCCAGCCCCATCCTTTGGACAGTATGCAGTTAGTTTAATTTTACTTGCTCACTTGAAAGGAAAACAGTAAAACTCAATGTTATTATTTTTTTAAAGATATAAAATTAATCTTTAAATGTGGGCTTGAATATTAAAAGTATATAATGCTTCAGCGTAGGAATCTGTTGATAACATCCATCCTATTTCATGACTAATTTGTTCCTTTTAATATGATATTCTTTTGCTGCACTGTGCAGACTAATTCAGATTCCTAGAAATTGAACTTTGATATGTATTTCCTAGATTCACACCGTAAGTGAACCTTCAATTAGCAGATACAGGTGGTGGCTTGCCTCACTCACTGTTTTCTTGAAAAGGATTTTAGAGACGTGGACACTGATTAAATAATCTTGCAATCAGGTGTGTACTGACAGGGTATTAAAAATAAAGCATTTGGGGGACTTCATGGGGTTTTTTTTTTAATTTTTCTTTGGTTTTGCTTCTCAGACGACGGAATTATTTTTTTCGGTGGGCCAGAGATAGGAGGAGTTGATTTAAACACTCAGTATGTTATGTATGCCTTTGCCTAACTATGTGTTAGATTAAGCGAGTTTCACTCACAGTTAATCCTTTGTAAATTAGCATTATGGATGCCTTGGGGCCCACATCCCACAAATAAAATGGTTGTCAAGCCAGCTGCACTGTGTATTACTTAAGGCTGAATGTTTTAAGAGTTTTCATGCTTTTAATCTATTTCACTGCTGAGTTTCAATTTTGCTCAGTGTCCTTTCAGGAGTGATGAGGGCGAGTGAGTAAATATATATTCTGGTTTTCCTGCATTTGCCTGGGCAAATCGTTTGTTATCAGGTGCTTGGCAGAGAATGTCACACCCCACCACAAAAGAGAAGCTTGTAAGTTCAGGTGTTAAATTGAAGTGCAAACCAACAAGAACCAAAAGCCCCTAATTAGCTTTATTTTGTTTGCCTGCTACACTTTTTTTTTTTTTAGGGAAATAAAGAGTGAGAAACATCCGTCGCTCCTCCTCATCCTTTTGGCAGAGTAAATATTGCCTGTTAAGTTTGAATTAGCTGTCATCGCGAAAGAATTAATGCTGTGGTTGAGCCTTTCTAGTGAGGAAGGGAAAAATAAACGAGACAGATCTTAGTTCAGCTTTAAGTGATAAATGAGGACAAAGCAGCCCATTCATCTCCTGCTAGGAAAGTGGACACAAACACTAAAGCAGTTTTGCGGAAGACGTGTCAGCAAATGTGATCATTTTGTAACCTGTCAGGAGGATAGAGAGCTAGTCCTTTTAGAGTGTCACAGGGGAGGGTGTCTGTCTGATGTGACAGTTTTCATCCATCCATTTACTGCTTTTCCTTTAGGTGGGGGGTAAGCAAGGAGAGGGCTGGAGTTGGTTAAAACTGCATTTTTCTTTACACTTTCCAGTATAATTTATATGTATATCCACCCGCATCCAAATGAAAAACATTTACCAAGAAAAACTCCCCTCTGCTCTCTGGAGTTTCTTCGCTCTTTCACTGCGTGAAATATGCTCATTTTAACACATTACATTCCCTGTCTTCAAGTTGTACTTGGCTTGATGTTTCACAAAACACAGTTTTAGCTCTTCTTACCATTGTTTGCTTCTTGCAGACTTTGTTTTGTTTTGTTTTGCAGAAGCATGAGAAAAAATGTATAACTTGGGGTGCTTTTATTGCACTTCGTTGTTGGGATTTTTTTGCTATACCTCTCCAATTCTGATTATAAGCTTAATGTACAAGTATATTTTGCAAAAGTCCCTATTTATGAAGAGCCTGTGAAAATATTCTTCCTTCTCTGTGAAAATGGAATAACAAACAGTGAATTCTTACAATCCAAAATCCTCCTATAAAATGCCTCAAATGCTACTGTTTCTTGATTTAGTAATTTGAATTGACCTATTAATTTTAGGAAAAATCTGAAGTGATGTGATGACTGATTTTAGAAGCAGGAATTTCTCCCAAAAAAAATGGAAAAATATTAGGACTTTCTACTTCTGGCATCTTTTTATTTTCACTAATCTTTATTTTTTTCATACTACATAAAAATGTAACATTGCCTATTACCATAAGTAAAGGTATGCTACAGAGACAAGAGATGCTTTTACAACATAAGCTTCACAGTTTGACACTTGCTTCTTTATATCATCCTTTTCTTCAAAACTATCTTTTGTACTTTTCCCTTGGTATTTTAGTACAAGTGAGTATCTCATTGACATGTGTTTCCTTGAAATCTTGTTCCTTAATAGTAAAATCCCTTGAAAATTAATAAATTCTTTCTTTCCAGATTAAAACTACTGAAGATTTCAGAATGGTTTTTAAAAATATAAAGATATTTACTATCACAGACCACCCTGCTTGGATTGCATTGACTCAACACTATTATTTTTCATTTGTTCTTAGAAGGTTAATAAATTGGAATATAATTTATTTAATTTATTCTAATATGTATATAAATGTATGCATAATTCAGAAAATTCTTCTTCTTTCTTGAATACAAAAGTTGTATTTAATAGCCACATAAAGATATGGTTGAAAGCACTGGAAATTGGCAAAAGTAAAAAATAGTCAAGATACACAAGATGGTAGAGGGAATACTGAATTTGTGGTCACATGTGTTTTCTCCAGTTCTTTTGTACACTTCATTTTATATTTTTTATATATATTCTGCTGTTTTATTTTGTTTTATTCACTGCAATTTTTTTCTCTCTTCTGCTTTTTTCCAGGATCATCCAAAACCGGATTTTGATCGTTGTGCTGGCAGTCATCATCATCTTCACCACCATGATGGCTATTTATTTTTCTGTCAGGGGACGCTGATATCTTTGTTCTTCACTAAACAGCAACAAACTGCTTGTTCTGAGTAATTAAGACAAAGTGGTCACATGAATCATTCTCTTGCACTGACAGAGTCTCCCTCTCTTTTCCACTCTTCAACTCAGGTGCAAGTGGTGTAAAATATTTTGTATTATTGATGGCATAGTTGATGGCATGTGGGGCTATTTTTTTCTTACATATTTGTCCTTATCTGAGTGTTTTCAGGATCTTAATATTTGTTGGAGTGAGGGCTTGTTCTGTTATAAAAAGAATTAATGTGTGTCGAATTCACCCACAGACAACTGATCTGTAAGTTGCCAGAGTTTCGTGAGGGAAGAGGGGTCTTTGCACTTTTCTTGTGCTGTGCAGGGTGTATGAATATCAAGCAGTGTCTGACCTTCTGTAATTTAGAATATAAGTAAAGCAGAGACCAAATGATGTAGAAAGTGAACCTGTCTCCTGTGACTAACTCCCAATCGTGCATTATCATAGTAGATGTAACCTGGTTAAGAACAGTAGCTAGTTTTAAAAAGGGAGCAACCTTAGGATGGTGTTTAATATATGATGTAAATCCAAAACTCAATTTAACAATTTTTTGTTTAAAGTTAGGCTTTCTCTTCTGCTTATTCCAAACAATTCCCCTTTCATCAAGATCATGAAAACACATCACTTATTTAAAATGTAGTTGTGCCTACAGCCCATATGTTGAATCTCTTTTAAATCTTCCAGTGTTGATATATGTACTGATAAGCATTACACACTAGGCCCTTAATGAAGATATTTTAAAATACTTATCTATTTGTTGCTGATTGAAAAGAGATCTTAAGTAATAGTTCGGCAACAAATGTGTGATTATAGTGCATTAAACAATCTAGATTTTTAATACTGGCCTGGCTATGTTGAGACTGCATGTTGGAGTATTTTGAGTGTATTAAATTCTGATGTGATATTCCCCTTTTTAAACAGAAACTGTAAAAATGTTAATTTATATATGCTTTTAGCTGATATAATATATCATAGTTTCATCTACCTCTGTGTACATAAGCTGTTTCTCTTTTCCCATTGGCTGTGCTTCTCCTTTTAGACAGGTTGAGGTCATTTGGCTTATATTTAAGTTTGCAGCTACAACAAAGGTCTATCACTGGTGATATGGTAAAGTTCATATTAACTTTTAAATTCATTATTTGCAATCCCTTACAAATATTGCAAATGAAGAGGAATATTAAGCCCTTGAAATTAAGCCATTAAATGTTTCTGAAAGATGTTCAAAGAAACAAAAATCTGGTGACTTTTAAATTCCCCCCACATTAGGCAGGAGCTGAGCCCTGAATTTTCATGTGTGCCTTAGTACTTTTGGGATTTTGGCATCCCTGTGGACTCTACCAATTTGCTGTGCTGTCCTTGGAGGCTGATTTTGGCCCTAAATGTCATTGTTTTCTCTACATAGAAACAAATAACTCCGTTAAAAGGATGTGGTACTGATGCCACAGCTAAGACATAGAAAGAGGGTGATAAATGTAGAATAAAAGGATCCACAGGAAAAATGCTACTCACTGAAACAAATGCAAGCATGTAGGGTCAGCTCTACTGTCTGAGTGTTACATGCAGCTCACAACAAAGTTTAGAGGTGGTTTTTGTACTGGGTTTCTCTACCAGCTTATGTCACTGGCCGCAGGATGTGCTGGAACAAAAGTTCCTGGGTAGTCCAGACCCAGGTTTCAGAAGGTGTTGCTCTGTGCAGCACAGTAATGTTCATCTCCTCACCTTGATGGCCCTGCACTGTCACAAGATCATGGGACCCCCCCTGGCCTCCTCCTGGGGCATCCTCTGGTTTCAGCCTTGTCAGGTGTGTGGCATTTACCCCGTGGCTCTCAGACACAGAAAGACTTGGGTGTTCAGCTTCCAGCCTTCAGGCACAACATGCACTCAAACTGAGCCTTTGGGTTGTGTAAGCAGAGCTCTGGCCATTAGCTTCCAGTGATGGCACAGAGCTGAGTTCAGACAAATTAGGAGGAAGCCTGGCAGCATTACAGATATTTATCCTCAGCTCGGCAAATTAGGAGATGCATATTTTGTAAAGCAGAAAACTGTCAAGAAGGAAATCTTAAGCTCCGTCTGTTGCCTAGACATTCTCTGCATTGCCTCAATAATTTAACTATCATGGGAATTGATTCATGACTACTGATCTTAACAGTGACCTATGACTAGGTTTTGCCCTCTATCTAGCCACCTGCTGGAATCAGCAAAAAGCTGAAAGGAAGCTAGTTTTCCTTATCCCAGTATAAATCTAGGGCATAGTGTCACATCAGATACATCCACTCAGATAGGAATGAGGGAGAGAGAGAGACTGCCACGCAAAGCCTTCATCTTCACTTTTGATGAGCCCGCCATCGCTATGTTTCTCATGCTAACGTGTTAATAACTCTTCTGTGCCTGCTTTGCATCCTCATGTACTCCCCACATGTAAAATAGCGCTCAGGTGGACACTACATCTTCAAAACACATTATTCCTCTTCTCTCGCCCCTGTTCATTTGGCCTGGGAAGTGTGCAGGAGAGATTCACCAAATCCACACATTTTGGTGGGAATTCAGTGACTTCAACTGAGAGCACAGCCCCAACCACCCACAGGTAGTATGACACCCCCAGGTCCAGGCTTCCCCTGGACTAGTTTGGTCACATTTACAGCACATCTCTGAATGAATCCAAGTGCTTACAAATGTAAACCTCAAAGAGCAAAGTGTTTCTAATGATGCCAGCCTTTGTGGAGAAACGACAAATTAAAAAACGCACGCGTGGTGCTGTGTGCGAAATCCACCCCTGCTAAACAGCTGGGCTCACAGAATAAATAAACTAATTCTGCACTGATACAAAATCAAAAGCAATTTAATTAAAGACTCTTAAGTTTTAAAGGGTTTTAAATGCTATACGTTTTGGGGAAATATCAGAAAATGTAGCTTGACTGACGTCAGTTCCCATCTCTGGGATGGGAGGCCATTTGCTATTCTGTTTAAGGCAGGCTGGATTGTCTTATTTTGGAGCCAGCTTGGTGGGGGGTTTTCTTTGCTGCTGCTTCAGAGCTCTGAGCTTCAAAGGCTGAAATTAATGGTGAACAAAATTGTGCGGCTCTGACCATCCCATGCGGGGCAAACCCATCGAGGGTTATCATTAAGTAAAGAAATAAAGAAAAAAAAACCCTGCCAGTTCCAAGAAAACCTCATCAGATAATGACCTCTGTGATTGGGTTTTCATTACCAAACAGCATCCAGAGATTGTCTGCCCCACAGAAGAAAAAAAAAAAAAAGAAAAGAAAAAGAAAGAAAAAGCAACTGTGTCTCTCTCTCTTTCTCTCTCTCGCTCTCTCTCTCCTTTTTTTTTTGCACATCTTTTCTTTAAACCTGTCAGATCATTTCAGTATTTCAAATCCGAGGAAAACAGCCTGCCTGCTGCTGTATTTGAAGTTGTAATGGTGTCAAAAAGTCACGACTGACTGACAGCCGTCAGTCCCAGAGGAGCTCATTAAATCATAAAAACTTGACAAGGAAATAATTGAGCATCACTGGCAACTTGGCGCCTGTTTAGACGTTTTTATTTTCTTTCATTATTAGTCCCCACCATTACGTTCATTAACAAATTGCATTAAACAACTGTTAAGGGCTAATGATTTGTTTATCGCTTTTTTTTTATTATTATTATTATTATTTAAACATTAGCTGCGTCATGTGGTACCTCAGCAGCCTCATACTATCATCTGACTGAATATTTTTCCACTCAGAGCTCTGGGTACTGCTGGAATATGAAATAGATTATTCATTACCCTCCTCTTTGCCACTGATTTGGTTTCATGTAGCGTCTTCCACAGAGAAAGATGAAAACTTGTCAAAAATAGGTTATATCTTATTCTAAGGGCAACAATAGCAGCAGGTACAGGCACACTTTAATATTTAATTAAGGCTGATGTTAACCCCTTTAAATGACTTTAGCTGTGAGTAATATTCAAGTGCAGAAGAGAAAAATAATGGTACTTAATTTGCAAACTGTACAGCAGGCATTCATCTTTGAGTTACTAGCAAATTTATAGAATAATTTTAAATAATGAAATTTCCAGTCATAAATATTTATATCCACTCTTTTTTTTTCCTTTTAAATACGTAGTCCTAAATGAACCACTTTTGCACACATCCTAAATAAAAAAAAAATCCATGTCCCTTTCTTTTTTTTTGTTTTGAACTGCACCACTCATATTTCAAAATCTGGTAGGACTTTTGTAGGGGGGGAAAGAGCTACATGTGGATCCCCAGTAAAGTTGTTAGCTGTGGCAATGTCTTACACAGTTCTGTTCCTAGCAACTTGACAGCTTATGATAAACTCAAGGAGGATGTGGGTTCTGGCTTTTTTTTTTTTTCGTTTGGAGGGGACAGCATGTGTTTTGACATTTTTTTGGTTTTTATATGAAACCATGGGAAGATTTTGTTTTGAAACAGATATTTAAACTGCTACTTTTTATAGGAGAAAAAGTATTTATCTCTAAGTATATTTTCTCTGTGTAGTTGCAGTTGTTGGTTGTAAATAATCCTCTTAAGGAAGGAGAAGCTTCAGGAGAATTTTAAGACGGTAAAAAAAGAAACAGTCAAAGGCAGGGTATGTGTTAGGCTCCCTTTGCTTTATAATAGTCAGTCTTTGATCTTTTCTTATTCAATACATCTGAATGCAGTTTGCATTCGGTGGGTCCCTGTGCAGGGATGACGGCAGAAATGGTGAGCGAGGTGTGATGACGTATCACAGGATGCTGCAGAGCAAATCCATCCGAGTCCACGATGCTCCCTCACGCTTCCTTGGGATAATTTGTCACTTCTGGAGTCACGTGGGGAAAGAGGCATGTAGCAGGTGAATATTTCATCAGCTACTGCCTGGCAGTGGGTTTTTGTGCATGTTAAGCAGTGGCACACCAGCTCCTCAGCGTGCCCACAGCCTGGCCTGGGTGCACAATCCTGGCCTGCCCATGTTGGGAAACAGAGGTGCACATTGAGAAGCACTTTAGCATCTTCCACTGCTGTCTTTTATTTGTCACACATAAATAATGAAGGCATCTACAGGGCAGGGGAGGAAGAGCTTATACACTGAGAACCAGTGAACTTGTGCACTCTTCATCCCTTCATCCAAACAACTGCCTTTGGCGTGAATAACGGCGCAGCTGATATGAAGCTCTGTATTGATCCATTGCTCAGGAAGGTCCACTGGTAGTTCCTTGGACTTTTCCTGGAGGTATGGCTGTAACAGGTTGGTACTGTTGCTTCTGTCTGCATCTCACAGCAGACAAGTTCAGCAGGGACACACACAGAGAGGGGGAGCTCCCAGCCCTCGCTCTTTGCAGCTGTCTCCCACTAGCACAGAGACGTGATTACCTCTCCTGGCTGGAAAGCCTGCTTGGGAGACTGTTGTGCACATGTATGAGTTAAATGGTGTCTGCAATTGGAGAGGCATCCCAGGGTGGATTTGGAAATAGTCTGCTTTTCCCCAGGCAACAATAATTTGGAAAAAAACCCCTAGATATTCTATAACTGTTGCTTATTCTGTGGGGTAGGCTCAGTGTGAGGAGTTGTGTCCCACAGCTGGTATCTCTCCACCACCCAGGCACTGTGGTGTTTTGGGGAGCTGCTGCAGATTCATCCTGGAGTTATGGCAGTGCAGCCTGGGTGTTCCCTTGGTGTTTTGGCTTTATCACAAGAAGAAATACCAGGTGGTGGTGGTGGCATAACCGATGAAGGATGTGGACTCTGCAAGGCAATGTTAGGTTTCTCACAAGGCTGGTGCCTGTTCATTGATGGGATGTTCAGGAGCGTGCAAAGTGAAGGCATTCCCTGGATGTCTGTCCTGCCAGAAAGCAGTGTTGGAAAGTAGAAGCTTTACACATTTTCAAGGGCCTTAAGTGGTTCTGAGCCATTAAACTCTGTACAGGAAAGGGGCTGTCCCTGCTGTCCTGTGGCCAGAGAGGTCTGGAGCGGGCTGCCAAGCCTGCACTGCCAGTGTTATGGTGCATGCATCCTGCTGGCTGCCATGTTGTGACTGCTCTCCTGGACCAAACCCAAAGAAAACCTTCTACTGCTGCTTCTTTGTTCAGTTGCTTTCTCCGTTCAGACCCATGACCTTGTCCGGTCAGCACTGTCCCCAGTGAACATGATCGCTGCTTCTGTGGATTTAATGAACTTTCCAGCTCTCTTCTGCAGCCAGCTAAGTAACACTGCTTGTTGCCTGAGCTGCATGTCCTGCCTGCATGTATTTGTGTGTACATACTCCTTTTGTTGATACTGCTTACAGGAGTTGCTGCCAGGCATGCCTTCCAGGGAAGCAAAAAAATACCCTGTGAGTTTACCACACCACTAGAAAACTTGCTTTTAAATAAAAAATAATATTTAATCTTCTCTTCCTAGAAGAAACAGGCTAGTGTCTTTGCTCTGTCTCATTTGATGAATTTGTCTTCCTATCTGCTGCCAAGTTGGAGCTTTTGACCAAACTCAGCCAAATGTAATAGGAGAGCAGAACTCTCGAAAATTTCTTTCAGTTTCAGGAAATCATCAGCCAAGAGGAGAGATGTCCCACTGGCATCCTCACCAAGAGAGGCTGCAGCATGACATCCACCCAAATTGGACACTACCTAGGAGGAAGAAATTATAAATGCCTCTCTCCCCAGGAAAAGCTCACATCCTATTTAGATACTAGAGAATCCAACCCTGAGGAAACAAGGCCTCATTAGTGTCATTGCTGGAGGAACTACTTAATTAAAGGACAACAGAGTTGAGAGCATTGTTATTGTAGGCCTTTGTTCCTTACACCTGGTCATTTCCATTGATGTAAAATGTCATCTTTCTGATCTGGTAGCATTTTGCACCCACTTTAGACAAGTATTCCTGGCCAGCTGAGGAGGTGCAGAGCAGGGAAGAATCAGACCTTATTACCAGAGGTAATTATAGCCTCACCTACCCATCAGGCGAAGGGTGTACACCTCTATTAGCCAGGGCTCCCACAAAGAGAACAAAGGCTGGCTGGAAAGTGGGAGCCACCCAGGGAGCATCCCTGTGTCCAGCTACAGCACTCTGGGGCAGAAGGCCTGCTGGGGAGGTCATGACCACAGGCTCCCTCCTTTCCTGTCTCCTGCCTGCTTTCCTGGCGTTAAATCCAACTTGCCTCAGCAATACTGGGGAAGGCCATGAGATGGGGAGACTAAAACAGGGAACAGTACCATCACTGAGGAAATCAGCTCTCAGTTAAAATGCTAAAGGAGGTAGGGGGTGGCTTTCAAAGCTTGTCTCAGCAACTAGCCTAATTCTATTTTCAAAAGCCACTGTTGAGTGCTTTTGAAAATTTCATCCTAGATGCTTGGCTCAAAGACCTTAACCAAAGATTTTTTTTTTTCTCTGCTATACGAAAGCTAAATATAAACCAACATTATTGAACAAAAACCTAACAAAACCGCTGTTGCAGGTCTAGAAAAATCTTTACTCAGAAAATCAAATTATTGGAGACCAGCATCTGAAGTGTCCTTCAGTCTTGGATGCCTATTGTTTTGTGTAAACAGTTTGGCATACAAAAAAATATATTTCTAACAGCAAACATTTGCTTTCTATTCTTTTTGACTTTTCCTATTTGCCTTTTGTTCTCCTGCCCTCAGAAAATCATGACCTGAGTGTCTCCAGATGAGCAGCTGAAGTTGCTTTAGAACACGTGGATCAGTCTATTTTACCCATTCAAGTAGGTGCATATGTGTCTCTGCTGTTTGAACAGCATCTTAATGACTTTTCCGCTGATTGCCTCTGGACCACAGGCAAGTAATAAAGCTGGCCTGTGCCTCAGTTTACCCACCACAATTTCATTAATGCTAACCTACCTCACGAGGTGGTGTAATGTTTAATATATAATGTGCTCTGTAATCCCTGGATTAAATGTATTATGTAAGTGAAAAGCACCCATTTGATGTGTATGTAAATGCTGCAGTATTATAGGTAGGAGGGTCATTTGGGTGCAAGTGTAATACAAGTGCTGGCAAAAGGCAAAAGGGATTCCATTGTATTGACTTATTTTTAAAGAGCTTTTTATTTACTGAAATGCTCTGGACACCCAGAAAGAGAGACATTCCTCACTAAGCAGCTCTGCTGTTTCATCTGTCTTGGAGTGCTTTGATAAATGGATTGAAACTTGTCAGCTTTTCCTGTAGTTTCTGAGACTCCCTCTGGAAACTGTGTTGAAATGTTATTATTGTAACTTCTTAGAGCACTACTTAATGAATTGTAACAGATATCCCTGCGAGTCCCGCGGATGCTGTGAGGACTGCTCTTCCTCTCCTTCTCGCTGCAGGAGCAAACCAGTGCCACACAAACACGTGGCACAGAGCGCACGTCCCCGGCCACCACAAGCAGCTGGTCTGTCACAGGGACAGCACTTCTCACCTACATAAGGCTTCAGCCCCAGCCTGGTGTCCTGGTTGTGTGGCCAGCAGGGCTCCAAGGTTGTAGGACATAGCTAGATATCACTTGAGTTAAAGATGGATTTGATCTTTTAAGAACCTTAAGGAGGACAATGAATCAGTTTGATCAGTGTTGGTTATTTCCTCTGTCTCTAGGATGAGATGTTTTGGTTTTTATGCAGTGCCTGAGCTGTCCTGCAACTTGGACTTGTGACTTGGGTGCTGTTGGACAGTCTGAACTCACACCACCCACAGGTGTCACCTGCCCTCAGAGCAGCTCTTTCTTTCTCAGGCAGACAGTGGTTATGTGATGTTACCACATGGGCACATGAGATGGATGGAGAGGGTGTGGCACCTCCTCTAAAGCACAGGACTGACCCAGAAGATCTGCTTGAGGAAATCTGCAGAGAAGGTGGTCAGAGGTGCCTGACAGGAACGTCTATAGTGTGGAACTAGAGGTTAGAAAGAAGTAAATCATCTTGGGTCATCTTGGACTCCAGTAATGTTCTACCCTGTTGCGTCCCACAGTGGAGCAATGGGATGTCATAGTGACCTCTTTATTTCCTACCTCCAACCTATTCAAAGGAATCTTTTTCCTCCTCTGCTCTCTCTGGAGGGGTGTTGTGACCCCTGATGTGCTCGGTTTGGCAGCTTGGTTGTGCTGGATAGGCTTGAGGGTCCTTGTCCTGATGCAAGGGTCACTTGAGAGTTTAGAAATTTTTTTATGTTTTTTTTTTTTTTTTAACTTTTTCATTGGGTTTCAGCTGTCCTTGTTTTTTGTAAGAATACAAAACCGAGTTGTTGATACTCAGGTTGCCATGAGGTGTGACATTGCCAAGCAAGCACACCCCACAGCATCACAGCTGTACCCCTTGCCCTGCATGGTTTGCCCACAGTAGACAGTGCTACCCATCTCCATCATAATTTTCTCTTGAAAAATAAGTGTGTGCCTTCCCCTTGCCTCCAAATATGAACGTAGGTCATCCTGATTGAGGTCTTCAGGAAGAGAGGAGGGAAAGTTTGAAGGAGGTCATGGCCTGTGTGGTGTAGGATCAGAACTATGAGGTGACTGGTTATAGGTCACTTCAGCAAGGCCTCAGAGGTGCCTCCATTGCCCTCAGCACTTTGAAGCCATCTTTGATTGTTCTCAACCTTTTACTTCACTTTTTATTAACATTTTACATATTAAAATTTGTGTAGGCAGCCAGAAGAGAGCAGCATCTACACAATACTTGATGCAATGGAGAGGATTAGGAATTAGTGGCTCAGTTCTTTGGGACCTGAACTGGTGGGCTGTGGGGGTGGTAAAGTGTCTTTTCTTTACATTTTAAAAGTACTTCCACTTTCTTTCTGTGTGTTGTCACTAAAATACAGCCTATGTCCAATACTGACTTGTGGTCTCAGCTGATAGTTTCAAAAAATTAAATATAACCAGGGTTACCTTGGAGTTTTTGCTGAGCTGTTCACATTTGCTTTTAAAGCTTCTTCCCTCTTCTCAGACAGACCAAACCTTTTAGTTCCCATACCTAGATACAGTAACACCAAAGTAAGAAATTATTTTCAAAATAACTACCAGTGAATTGGGATTTTTCAGCCGCCCTTGCGTGAAATTCCTCCAGTATTTTTATTCACAAAAGGAATGCTCTGGGAAGCAAACCTGCTAAAGTTGCCTCTGTTTATTCCTTCCAAAGTGAAATTATCCATGTCCTTTTTTCCCCTGTGAGATCCTGGAGGAAACTGTCTGCACACACACATTGACACATCTTTGGTGCATTCCATACGAGCCAGTGAAATTACACCAGAAATATGAATTTAGCCCACACAGTGTGTGCACGCTGTGCTGTCCATACAGGACATACACAGACACACCCTGGCAAACCCTCCCATTTAAATTTCAGAATAAGACATTCAAGACAATGTGTTTCCCTTCCTGATTGTGTTCTGTACGCTTTTCTCAAAAAAAAAAAAAAAGAAAAAAAAAAAAAAAAAAAAAAAAAAGAAAAAAAAGGTATTCTGTGAATTGTACCACTTAATAAAAATATTTGACGTGGGTTTAGTTGTTTTGAATATTGAGGTTTTTGAAATCTCAGTAATTGTCATGATTGCTGTGTGTAATAGAAATTAGAAGGAAGTCTGTGTTTTGGCTTTGAAGCTACCTACTTCTAAGAGTACATTTTTTTAAGTTTTCTTTTTAAGGTGCTTCTTCATGCCCCAGCTAAACTTTCCCCAGATTACGTGTTAGCTATCATAGCCGTTCTATAGTTAGATTTTAATCAGCCTCCGTACACAGTAATGTTAAACACTGAAAGAGCTACTAATTAATCGCCTTTCTCTATGTAACAGAGAGATAAATATCCATCCCAGAGGAATTGTAATTTCATGGTTTCTAATGATGGTTAGATTACATTATCTGGATCACTTAGGCTGTGGGTGTCATAAAAAATGCTCAAAGTCATTTATATTCAGTTTAATTTTTTTTTTAACTTTGTAAGCCTGAGAAAATAATGCGATGTTAGCAAGTCTGTTTCATATTTTAGTTAAATATACCTTTGTTGCACTGACTGAATGGATTCAGATGACAGTGACAAACTCAGTTCTTTTCTATTTAACATGCACCTTCTGCAATCAAATTAACAATGTACAAATCTTCATCGGGCTGCTGCAGAAGAGTCTGTTGAATTCCTCAGCGTTGTTAAGCTTTGGGGAAAGGTTTTCCTTTTGGATGTCCATTGGCAATGAGTGTTTTCTGCTAATTCTTGTACGTTCTGTAAAGTCTTGGTTGTCTGTCTTGAACCAGGAATTAACTGGACTTTTGGGTTGTATCAGGCTGTGGCTCAAATAAAATAATAAAATCCAAGAGCAGTGTGAAGTTCTCGTTTTCCCCTCCCCACTTCTAAGTGATTGGAGTCCATGCACGACTTTGGCTCCTGGAGATCTGAATCCACGTCACACTTAAATTTGGTAGCCACAAGAATATTAAAAAAAAAAAGAATCCTACTCCATGTGTACACTGTAATAGCTAATAGTTGCATATTTTGAAATTCTGCTCATTCATATTTAAAAGGCTGAGTCTTCTTTGAACTGCTGTGTTGGAGGGGGAAGTTAATTGTTTCTGAATGAGGATGATACTCCCTTTCCATATCAATTATGCGTGCTGCTGCGAATTATCAATAATCCTCACTCCCAAACTCCGCCGGTCGCAGTTCTGCACCAGGCGCGTGCGCTCGCATGAAGTTGCCCGGGCTCCGGGGCTGCAGCCCCTCCCTGCACCCGCTGGGAGCCAGACGTGGGAGGGAACCCCAGAGGAGCAAGGTGAGAGAAAGAAATGCAGTATTTCCAAGAGAGAGTTTGTCACCAGTTAGCTAAAATTGCTTCTGAAGTTTTGCTGGCAACTGTTTTACATGTCTGACTTGGTGACGAAGGAACTGTGCTGTCTTAATAGAGAACTCCAGAACTTCAGAAGGGTTTCTCCTTGTTTGAATGCACAGCACAATGAATTTGTACCCACAGAGCATTCACCACTTACATTTCAAAACCTACAGCACACTAAACGTGAAACTTTTGTTCAAATTTCAAGGATTTTGACAGCCCAAGTGAATAGACACTGCCTATTGATTTTTCCCTTACAATGACTCTTGGATAACCTATTTTCTCATTTATTTTTAACGACAGCTCATGAGATTTTACAGCAATTCTGCCCAACCTCCTAATATCAAAATCCCTCCTTGACCCTGAAAATTGTAATTCTGCTATAGATCACAGCTGCTGAATATTACCTTTTACTAAGCTGGTTAAATAAAATATGTCCAAATCACTAGATCCCACAGGCCATGACTGCAATTCTAATTATACAGGGTCTGTATTTCTGCTCTACAGTACAGAAAAGCACAGCTTTCTCTGAGTCCACACCAAAGTGTGGGAATCCAGAATATTGGTTCTAGTTTTGAATTTAAAAAAAAAAAAAAAAAAGGGAAAAGCTACACTGCTCTTCAATGATTTTCCTGTAAAACTTTTACAAGGGAACCAAACCCTTTTGATGTGTTCCATACAATAAAATGCTGTGTAAGTCTGGAGGACAGAAGCATGTGGCGAGAATTTTCTTGTGTCTGGGGGATGGGTGTATTTGATGTGTACCCATTTCAAAATCAAAAAAAAAAAGTCTCACACTACTCTTAGGCTGCATATTCTGCACAATGGCTCGGGGAACCAGTGTAAGGAAACTAATTCTGGCCATTAAACATATCCTTTCCCCTCCCACTGCTTATTCAAAGAGTGATCACATGCTCCCTGCTGCATGTTACACCTTTATAGAATTTAGATATGGAAGAAAACTATTAGATTAGCCCTTCCACCTACTGATGTGGGATTGTTCCCTGGAGAACCTTATTCATTAGTGCGTCACTGCCTAACCTTGTGGGCACACTGTGCCAAGAACATCTTGGTTTTGTTCTGCTTTTTTCCTCTTGTCCTTTCCTCCTGGTGCTGAGGGCTGAAGGGGTAGTTTGGTGAGGAGTGTGGTGGAGAAGGTGGTATTCTTGTTTCATAGTCAGGATGGTGGTTTGGATGCTTGAGTATGCACATACTTCTGTGGATGATAAGTTTGTATGCTTTTTTAATTAGTATCTAAGTGCAGAGGACCAGATGGGGGGTGATCTTATTCAACATAATTCACTGTAAGATCTTCTGGAGCCCAGTGGTCTACAGCAAATTACCTTCATGGCTTGCCTTGATTCTGCAATGTCCTCAGATGAAGCTTCCATTTTACTTTCTGCTTTCACTCTTCTGCGAGCAGATAGAGCCAAACTTTTAATTGCTTCTCTGCCAGGGAAGGCAGCTTGGCATTTTACTGCTTTTCCAGGAGAGAAGGTTTTTATTTTGGTTGTTCTTTGGTCTGATCCCATAAAACTCTGAGCTTTCAGGGCAGCTGTGGCTGCTTGGCATGTCTTGTGCCTGTCTTGGCAGTGTCTGGTATCAGGGTACTGTCAGCTGGGTTTCCTACTGCAAACTTTTCCTCTCAGAGCTTCACTTGTACCTTTTGTCCTGATAACTTTTCTTAGCAATTTCCCTATCCAGAAACTGAGGACCTCAGCACCAGCCCCTTCTCTGGGGTCAGCCACTCGTGTTTTAATAGCCCAATTCAAACCCACTATTGAAGCATCTTCAGTCTGTCCCTTTAGGTGAGTTTATTTGTTCCTGCCATGTGGCAGCTGCCACCTCTCCCACTTTCTGGGCTCCTGTAGGTATTAACTCTACACCACACTGCAGCTGTGCATTTCCTCCTTGGGCCATCCTCACCTAGGCCTCTGCAAGGCTTCCAGACGTGAAACCCCAATCCAAAGAGGTCTGCACACAATCAGACATCTGCTGACCCCAACAGGGACCGTCAGGAGACCAGCAGAGCACAGACCAGGGACAGGGAGCCATCACCACACAGGATTTGCTGCATCCTTCGGGGATGCACTCCTGCTTTGTCTGAGGACCTGGTCCTTGGACCTTCTCTTCATTGATGAATTCTGGAAAAAGTGTGGGAAAGGGAGGGGAGGAAAGGCAGCCATTGCCATTCTGCAGTTTCAAAGTTCTGGTTTCCACCCTCAGACTATAATAAATGGCTGCTGAGTTACTTGACATGGAGCTAAAGACTGTAGGGTGAATTTTCAGAGCAACGCACAGGAAATTATATGCACAATTACTGTTGTTAACAGAGCCTGGGCATGTAACTCCCTGCACAGCAGGCTGGAAATCTTCCCCATGCATGTTTAATGGGGTTTGGGTTGCTACATTCCTGGGGCTGTGTCCCTTTTCTAATGCCTACTGTCCTGAATGAAACAAAGGAAGTACTGAATGTAAAAGAGATATTATTTTGCTGTTAAAAATAATATTCTCTTGATCTATGGTTTTCCTCTAATGCCAAAGCATTTCTTGTCTCATTCAGTGATCCTTTAACCTTTCTGTTCTGTGAGAAAAAAAAAAAAAATCACATATTTATTTATTTATGTATTTTTCTTCTTCAAAATGTGTTCCACATAATGTGCTCCTCAATGTTCATACAAATGAGTTCCTGTTCATGCAGGCAGCACAGTTATTCTAGTGATGGATGTTGTTGAAATAAGTGTAGGTCAAAACACAGAAAATATCTGTCTAAATCTTAATTTGTAAATGCTCCTGAGTAAATAAAATATTTGCGTGTCTTCATAGAAAAATGAATTTTATGTGCCATTTCACTAATCAGGCATGTATTTCAAGTGCTTCCCTGTTCAGGAGGTTATTAATGTGGCATTTAACTTCAGTAGAAGTAGTAAACTAGGCAGAGTCTGTAAATTTGGGATGGTCTTTTGCTTCCATGCGGTCTATTTAGCTTTATGTACCATGATTGTTTTCTTCTTTCCTGTGAAGAAGGTTGTCATCTTCTGCACCTAGATAAATCCAAATGGACTTTAATTAACTTCAATAAAAATTAAATTACTCCTCTAAACTAGCAGTTTGCAGCTCCAAGGAGATTATATTTGCAGCTGTGTCCTCTCATTGACTGAAATATTCTTCCACCACCCTGGGCTTGGCTCTCCAGCTTTCTGCAGGGTCTGAGGGCAGAAAGGTGCTGTAAAGAGAGACTAGAAACACCAAAGTAAAAACACACATTAAAAAAATAATATATATATATGTAAAAAATACATCAAATACATAGTCAAGTTTCTGAAAGGTTTCAATCATTCTAAAATTGCACATGATTGCTTTTAGACTCCCCAAAATGCTTTCATCTAAGAGCAGAAAAAAGTGTAGTTTTAAAAGCATTGTTGGGGCATGTCTAATAGATTTGTCTAACTCTCTCTGTCTTGATATATGTAACACAGCTGATTGTATTCTCCTTAGCACAGATCTTGAAACCGTAAATAAATTTTTGAAGTAAATAGTTGTGATAATTGCTTAATGAAGTATCACACACCAGCAGTTTTGAATACAAAAAAAAAGTTCAAAACCAGTGTGTGGTGTCTCTTTTTACTGGAAATGAGCTTTTACTTTTAAACTTCTGTTATATTTGGAGAGAAGCAATCCCAACGAAAATGATACCACTACTAATAAGGAACATATTATCTTTCATGTGGGTATTTTTTTTTCATGTTTAAGGTTTCTTTGTTATTATCTCAGTAGCAAGACTCTCCACAGTCTTAGGCAGAAAATCAAAATATGCCTTAAAGCAATAATCTTTTAATAAGTATCAAATGTCTTTCAATGAGATAAAAGAATTCTCTAGCATGCTTATACACACATACCCACACACACACTTGCTTCGCTATTCATCTTATTTTACACCTTTTCAACAGTATTTTTGGGAATATTTTTTTTAACCAAGACTAAACTCTTCTAACAAATCTTAGATCATTAAATTTCTAAATGCTACTAAATATTTTGTTAAAATTGTTTTCTCCAATTGTTGGGCCTCCTTGTCCTGAGGGCTTTGGGAGATGTGGCCATCTCTTGTGGCCTCAGGTATTTCCACTGGCCCAAAGAGGGAAGTTACTCCAAATGTCTTTAAGACACCAGCCTGAGGAATTAGGTCTTTTTGCACTGATTTTTCAGGAGTCCAGGATTCACACAGCCAAAATCAGGAGAGATGCTGGGAGTCTGCTGGTGGACACAAAGGGACAGTGGGCCTCATCACGCAGGCCCAGCCTTGTCCCACACAACTTTAGTCCTTATCCTGGGAAATGCAGCTGGAAGGTGAGTGAGCTGAGGTGTCTTCTCATGGCAGCAGGATACATGGGCAAGATTGCCAAAATCTTGCTGGGGACATGCTCTGCCAGTGTCCTGACAAGGAGGACAGGGTGAATGTGCAGGGGGAAGTGGAGGAGGTCTGGATGCCA